CTGGGAATTGGTCCTGCTTTGAGCAGGGGGTTGGACTAGATGACCTCTTGAGGTCCCTTCCAACTCTGATATTCTATGATTCTATGATTCTATGAAAGGAGAGTCAGTGCTCCAGCTCAGCGACTCTCTGCACACACAGTCCAGCTGCTCTGTGCGGCCACGCAGGGTGGGAACCGCAGGACTGGCTGACAGCGTCCTGAGAATCTGCAGAGTCATAGAATCATAGAATATCAGGGTTGGAAGAGCCCGTGTGATCCACCCCAGCCAGCCCGGCCAGACGGAGGAGCCTCAAGGGCTCCCAAAACCACTGGCCCCAAGCCCTGGCTCTGAGCCCCACCATGGCCCAGCCCCAGGAGGAGGAGGCTTGGGGTGGCTTAGCTTCCTTCAGCCTCCATTACAGGCCACCCATGCTGGAGCTCTGGGCATAACTAACAGTATAAACCAAAGGCTGCGAACCAAAGTAGGCCTTGACAGAATAGTAACACACTGGGTACTGGCTAACCAAGTGAGCTCATTCCTGACCTGAGAGGATGGTACAGAGACACACAGAGTTCTCAAGAAACTCTGTAATTACAGGCTTAAGAGATGACACAGAAACACACCAACCGTTCCTAAGGATGAAGAGGGGATGACAAGATAATCATAGAATCATAGAATATCAGGGTTGGAAGGGACATCTAGTCCAACCCCCTGCTCAAAGCAGGACCAATTCCCAACTAAATCATCCCAGCCAGGGCTTTGTCAAGCCGGGCCTTAAAAACCTCAAAGGAAGGAGATTCCACCACTTCCCTAGGTAACGCATTCCAGTGCTTCACCACCCCCTAGTGTTTTTTAAGCCAATCTCATGATTTGGGTGGCCTGACTTCTTAGTTTGGAACACTGGGGGTAGCAAAGCTAAAGAAAAGCCAGCTGAGAGGGAGGAAGGAGGTGGGTTATCGTCTGCATCAACCTGCAGCAAAAGACTCTGATCACAAAGAAGATGATGCTTTTTCCCCATGACACAATTCATTTTCTTAACTACCTAAAAGTTGAAAGCTGCCCCGAGTCGCTATGGAAATGTGCCAGGGAGCTCAAAGCCCTGCAGAAAAGGGCTTCTCTGGATAGTTAAACACACTCACAATGGTTCAAAGAGCTTGAACTAGCAACACAAAACAAAGGTACAAGAGGGAAAGAACGATGCCCAAATCCACCAGTGTCAGCAGTATGATCCAGAGACATTGCTCAGGTTCTGATTGTACCAGCAGCAGGGCCTATGTTGCTCATTTGAACGCTCACAGCACAGTCAGATTTTCCAGGGTTCGGTTCTCAGTTAGGCTCCTAAATGCCGTGCCTAGATTTTCCAAAGCACCCAAGACCCAGTAGCTGTCAATCACTGTTCTCAAATGAGAATTTTTATCAGCTGAAGGGTGTTGGCACTTACAGAAACCTGGCCGTCAGTCTAGAATTCCTGCCAAACATCAGCTCAAACCCAGACACCAAAGCAATGTAATTGCTTTATGCA